AACTCCCTCCAATTAACAAGAAAGAACCAAACTTTTCAAAACCACAAATTCCCAGATGAAAGCATGGTATACTTCAAAATTTTCAGGAGGGACAAAAAGCTTCGGGTTTTCCGTGCACCACCAAAACTCACCTACACTTAGGAATTGAGACCACCAATATATATATATATATATATATATATATATAAATGCATTACCTTTGGTTAAACTTTATTAGATTTAGTTTTTATTTTAGGGATTTTAAATTTAGTTATGTAATGTTCATTTTAGAATGTCATTTAATGCATTTATTTTTATTTTATTATTATTTTAAAAGAATAATTACAATATGTATGAAATAAAAAGTCTTATTTAAGTGACACTTAATTAGAGATAAATATAAAATTTTATCAATAAATTATTACATATCTACTTTATTGAAGAAAAAAACTAAGTCTATAAAGTTGAACAGATGGATATGAAATACTAGAAGATTTCCATGCCCTACTAAATGATAATTGAAATTTTTTTAATCAAATAAAAATACTCCACAAAAATTGTATGTAGGAAAGAAATTTTCTTTTCAATTGTTGTTAATATTAAGTTGTTAAATTTTCATTTAAAATTAATGTTCAACAAATTAAAAAATCAAACTAAAACTATTAAATTTGAATAGAGTGAGTATTAGAATTGTTATCTAATTTATAAATGGGTGGTATGGGTTTTCCTCTTTCCTTTGTTTCTCAAATCGGAAAAAATCTAAGAGATAATATATGATTTCCTCTCCTAAAATATTAGATTTGAGCAGAGTTTTTCTTTCGTTGGCCGAAAAAAAAAAAAAAAAACCGTGTTTTTCTTTCTGAAAAAATCTAAGAGATTAATAAGATTTCCTTAGATAATAGTAGTAGATATTTTTGCCTAATTTGTCGACGAATAGCTATATAAATTTGTAGTCCAACAGTGTTGAGGTATTCATCAAATTCTATATCTTTTATATAAAAAATATATACATATAAGACTTCCAACATCAAAGAAAAAAAAAATTGAGCTAGAAGTCATTCAAGATGGTTTTCTTAGCTGCACTCCTATTTTTTTCACTTGGTAATTAAGCAACTTTCTTTCTTTTCTTTCTTTTTTTTTTTTTTTTTTATTGTGCCTTTTGTGTTTTGAGATGCAATTATGCTACTAATAAAAATCATTGTCAAACTATAACACAAGCAAGAGGTCTTGACATTCTATGCTAAAAGTATGCTCATTGCGCAAGTCCAATTTGTCATTGATGATAATGTAAATCATAATACACATGTACATAGAATAGGATTAGAAGTGTCAATATACTTCTATACTTCCTGTATATATATACCCTGATTTTAATCTAATGAAGGACAATTCAACCTTAATATTCTTCATGGTATCAGAGCCCTTTTTTTTTCTTAGCACCAAATAACTCTAAAAACCCTAGGTTTTCTATTCTTCTGCTGTGCCTGAGTCATGGATGAGTGTTCATCTTGTTCCTCTTTGTCTCCTTCTTCTACTTCTTCTATTCCCTCTTTTCCCCCTACTCTGGTTCCTTCTCTTTCAACTATTTACAATTTTTTCCCCTTCTCCTCCTGTTGTGTTGTCCACCCCCATTCCTCCCCTCCTATTACTTCTTCCTTTCTACCCACAACCCTTACCTCCTCTATTTTCTCTCATCCCTTTTTTCTCCATCACCAATATTAAGATTTATGTGGCTGAAACACTTTATCACACTAATCTCTTTGTGTGGAAGGAATTGATTTATGTGGCTGAAACACTTTATCACACTAATCTCTTTGTGTGGAAGGAATTAATGATTCTTTTTTTAAAAAGCAAAGGCGTTTATGGTCATGTTGATGGCTCCAATCCGTGTCTCTCCCTTAATAGTCCAGATTTTGATTACTAGATGCAGGTTGATTATCAAGTCTTGTCTTGGATTCAGGCCACCATCTCAAAGGACATTCTTCAATTTATTCTTCAACTTGGTCAACAACTTATCGCAAGATTAGCCTAGGATTCTATTCATTAGTTGTATCAAAGCCAACTTAGTGCTACTGCTTTTCAATTAACCCAAGAATTTAGTAGTATTCAAAAGCAGTCTGGCCAGAGTGTTATGGACTATTTATAGTATGTCAAGGGATTATTTGATTGACTTTTTGGAATTGGTCATCCAGTTTTTGATAAAGATTTGGTGCTTCGAACTATTGCTGGCCTTGATCATTCCCTCTGTGGCAAAGTGCACTATTCCTCAACGTGTCCCCTTTCCTACCTTGGAGCTACAATCACTACTGTTGATTGAGCAAGCTAATATTTTGCAAGAATCCTCGACTAGCTCATTGATGAATGGCTCTTCTAGTTCTAGTCAATTGTTGCAACTTACTCACCCTTCTAATTTCCAGATTCATTATGCTACTAATCTACAAAGGGGTCGTGGCTATGGCCACAATCACTCTTCAAGAGGAAGACGATATAATCATGGTAGGGGATCTCGTGGAGGTGGTTGCACTATCTAGAATAATCGCTCTCATTTTTCTAGTGATTCTAGTTCTGGTCGTGGCTCCAACAATGTTGTTGTCCATGGTGCTTCTGATTTTTTGGGTGGTTCTTACGAGACTCATGTTGCTGGTTCTACCTAAGCCTTACCACCGTTGCTGCCTACACCTCCCACTCATATTTCTTGTCAATGGTGTAATTGACTAGGTCATCAAGCTCCTAACTGCTCCTTCTTAACTATAAGACTCACCTCTGTTTCTTCTACACCTCAATCACTATCTGCTAATTTAGTTCCTGCTTCTATATGGATCCTAATTGGTACTTTGACAGTGGGGCCCAAATCGATGCTACAAACAATCCTAGTAAATTACTTCACTCTACTCTTTCCTCTTCCTCCAATTTTATTCAAGTTAGTAATGGCCAATTATTGCCTATTACTTCTTATGGTAATGCTTTTCTCTCTACTCCCAACTCAAAATTTCATCTTAATAATGTCTTGGTTGCTCTACATCTTACCAAAAATCTTATTTTTGTTCGTTAGTTTACTCATGATAATAATTGTAGTGTTAACTTCGATTCCTCTGGTTTTTCTATTAAGGACAACAAGACATAGAACATCCTCCTTTGTTGCAATAGTCTGAATGGCTTGTACTCATTTTCTAGTGGTTCCTTCTCCAGTTATCCTACTGTCTATTCTACTACGCATTCTGCAAATGTGTGGCATTGTCGTCTTGGTCATTCGAGAGTCGCTTCTATTCAACATCTTACTCGCCATGGTCTTCTTTCAATTGATAGAGTCACTTTATCACATCGTTTATGCCATGCATGTCAACTCAGGAAACATGTTCGTCTTCCCTTTTCTGAGTCTTATACTTTTGCTACTAGACCATTTGAGTTAATTCATTCTAATGTTTGGACATCTTTTACAATTTCCTTTTCAGACATTAAATATTATTTATTATTTTTGGATGAATTTAGTTATTATTTATGGATTTATCCTTTGTCATCTAAAGCTCAAGTGTTTGATTCTTTTCTTAAATTTTCTACTTATGTGTCTACCCAATTTGGTGCTAAGATCAAAGCTTTGCAATATGATAATGGTCATGAATTTGATAACTCTGATTTTGCATGATATTTTCATACTCATGGTATTCATCTCCATTCTTCATGTCCCTCAACTCCCCAACAAAATGGAAAAGCTGAGCGAATGAATAGAACAATCATGAACATGGTTCATTCTTTACTTTTTCAAGCAAATTTGCTTGGTAAATTTTGGGTGGAAGCTATTTATGTAGCTGTTCATCTTCTCAATATATTACCTACTTCCAAGCTACATTCTCTTACCTCTCATGATGTGCTTTTTGGTTCCCCATGGAAATATGATCACTTGAGAACATTTGGTTGTGCCTATTATCCTAATATGTCTGCCACTACACCAAATAAATTGGCTGCTCGCTCTACCTTATGTATTTTTCTTGGCTACCCAACTCATCATAAGGGTTATCATTGTCTTGATTTGGCAACCAATAAGATCATTCTCTCAAGGCATGTTGTTTTTTATGAGACTTCTTTTCCTTACACTTATAATGCCCCAGCTTCTTCATCACTTCACCATTTTTGAAGCCTATTTCTAAACTTTCCTTGGCCCAAACCTCTAATCAACTTGTGTCTAATTCTTCTCTAAGCCCAATTTCATCTCAACCCAACCTACTGTCCTCTCCATCTTTGCCGGCCATTACCCACTCAATCCCTAATACTGCATCACCATCCTCTCCTCCAAGGTTTTAAAAATCAGATCGGACCGACCGGTTGAATCGATTGGATCGGCACCCGGTAGAAGAAACAAGTTGGGTGAATATTTCAAATCGTTTAAGCTATTGAACCGCTTAAAACCGCTCAGATCGTCTAAACCAATGAGAACCAGTAGCCCGTCAAACCGGCCGGGTCAACTCTTGGGACAAAATTCTCATACATTTGTCTCCATTGGGTTTTGAACACCAAGTCTCATGAAGAGTTAGCAAGCCATTTGCCACTTGGACACCCCCCCCCCCCTGAGGTAAGTTGCAAAGAATATCTTTTAAAGAATGTTACAAAGATTTTATAGGGAAAATGAGTTCGATGAGGTTTGAACACTAACCCTCTTGGATGCTCAACCAAATTCGTGCCACTTGATCTGATTCAAGTTTGTTGTCAAATTATATGTTAAGATATATTTATGGTAGAAATACATAAATTGAACAACTTTACTGCTCGTGAGATTCAAACTGTAATTCTCCTCAATGAAATTAAAAGTTCTGACCACCAACGCCACAAGAAATTTTTTTACATGGGTTGCATTATATTTAATTTAATATATATTTTCAAAATTTAATCAACCTAATTTTTTAACCGGTTAAATCGGTTGAACTGTCAAAATCGTGAACCAAAGGTCAAAATGGTTTGACCTCCAATTCGGTTTTGAAAACATTGCTCGCCTCCCGTGCCCTTACTTTCCCCTTCCTGGGCTACGGGTTTGCCCTCTGTTCGGCAATCAGAGTTCTTCCCATCTTCCTCTAATTCTCCTCAACCTGCCAAAGCTCCCTCTGCCTCCACTATCCCTTCCATGCCTTCCTCTTCTACTTCATCTCTTTCATCTCCTTTGCACCCTCCTCAGTGAACCCATACTATGATCACCAGGTCTTAAGTTGGCACTTAGAAGCCTCAAATTTTACCATCTTTACTTGATACTGGAACTGACATCAAAGAACCACGCACCATTAAAGAAACTTGTAAATTCGTAAAATGGCGATCTGCGATGGCAGATGAATTCTCAGCTTTGCTAAAGAATAATACTTGGTCTCTTGTGCCTCATCCTTTGAACGTCAATGTGGTTGGCTTGAAGTGGGTTTATCGAATAAGGTTGATGGTTCTATTGAGCGCTTCAAAGCTCATCTTGTTGCTCAAGGGTTTATGATGATATTTTCAGTCTTGTGGTGAAGCCTATCACAATTCACACTGTTTTAGCACTAGATGTGATGAACTCTTGGCCTATTCATCAACTTGATGTTAAGAATGCTTTTCTTCATGGGCATCTCTATGAGGTTGTATACATGTCTCAGTCTCCTGGCTTTATTAATTCTAAATATCCTAATTATGTTTACCAGTTGAATCGTGCTCTTTATGGCTTGAAATAGGTGCCTCATGCCTGGTTTCAGCAATTTGCATCTTTTCTGTTTGCTCGAGGTTTTTCTCAGGCTCGATCTAACAGTTCTATGTTTCTTTATCGTTCTAATGGTGCCATGGCTATTCTTTTACTTTATGTGGATGATATTGTGCTTATGGCTTCCACTAAATTCCTACTTCATGTCATTATCTCTTTGTTGAAAAGTGAGTTCTTGATGACTAATTTGGGGCAGCTTAATTATTTTCTAGGTATTAGTGTTTGTTTCAATTCAAATGGATTATTTCTCTCAGTCCAAGTATAAGCCTGAGCTCCTCACTTGATGACTGATTTAGGGCAGCTTAATTATTTTCTAGGTATTAGTGTTTGTTTCAATTCAAATGGATTATTTCTCTCAGTCCAAGTATAATCATGAGCTCCTTGAAAGAAGCAACATGCTTGATTGTAAGCCCATGGTTACCCCTATGGCACCCAAGACAAAATTGTTTGCTACAAATAGTCCATCTTACTCTAATCCGGCCTTTTATCGCAGTATTGTGGGTGCTTTACAATATCTAACCTTCACACGTCTAGACATTACCTTTGGTATTGGCTAGGTTTGTCAATATATGCATGCCCCTACTCAAAATCACTTTACTATTGTCAAAAGAATATTACGGTGTTTGAAAGGCACTTTGTATTATGGTCTTCAATTATTTCGTAATTCTTCTCTTGCTCTGCATATGTTTATTGATACTGATTGAGTTGGGTGTGTTGACACTAGAAGATCTATTTCTAGTTATTGTTTGTTTCTTGGTAATTCTTTGATTTCCTGGTCTTCTAAGAAGCAAAATACTATTGCTCAGTCAAGTGCTCAAGGTGAATATCATGCTATAGCCAATGTTGTTGCTGAGGTTATTTGGGTTCGTCAATTGCTTTTTGAGCTGCGTGTTTTCCTCCATTCTCCTCTCCGATGGTTTATTGTGATAATATCAATGCTATTTACATGTCTCTGAATCTCATTCAACAGCAACAAATGAAGCATATTGAGATTGATATTCACTTTGTTCGAGAGCGTGTTGCTTCTGGTATTATTTGTCTTCAGTATGTTCCTTCCTCTTCTCAATGTGTTGATGTTTTGACTATGGCTCTTTCTTCATCTCTTTTTCGATCTCAAAGGTCTAATTTGAGCATCCTTTGCTCTCCCACTCCAATTGCGGGGGATGATAATGTTAATCATAATACACATGTACATAAAATAGGGTTAGAAGTGTCAATATACTTCTATACATCCTATTTATATATACCTTGATTATAATCTAATGAAGGACAATTCAGCCTTAATATTCTTTAATTGAGATGTGTGTTTGTGGTGCTCGTAAAGCTAAATTGGTAAGGCATACCATGACCATGAATCGAACAGTGGCAAACGCGAGACTCCGTGAGAAGAGGAAAAAGATGAATCTAGCGTAAACAATGTTGAACATAAAATGTTGCTCAATAACGTCTTGATTTTGGCGGAAGAATGTTCAACACTTTGAAAATAATAAAATTTACCCGTCTTTATTCTCTCAAAGTCTCCATATTCTGATTCCTACAAATACTATTTAACACAATTTCTTGAAAGAATATAAACTCAGTTTTAAAGACCATCT